TCTTTCTTTCTGGAAAAAATTATTTATGAATATTATAACATTAATTATGTCATGGATTAATAATTTTGATACATATATATTTTATTTTATGATATATTAAATATGTGTATATTTTTATTATTATAAGCAAAAATATTTCTGCATCTTTAAAAAATTATCGTATTTTTGAAAAATTAACAAAAATTATATATGTATTTTGTAAAATATGTATTCTTGATAAACATCAAATAATATTTTTATTTATTTCAGGTTATTTTGAGATAATAGCGATCATCACGTTAGAAGTGTACAAAATATACTGGAATTTTAATTTCGATAGCAGATGGTACGAACGATACCATATCGTCTGTTCGAGGATACAAACGGAAAATAAGATTATGTTTCGGTTTAATGCTGCAAACACGTCTTTTGTAATTTATTTAATTAAAATTTATTAATAACTCTTTTTAATTAAAACTTTTAACTAAAATCGAGAGTTCCATAGATTTAGTGTTATAAACAACGATGCGCAAATTCTCAAAAATAAAGCTATATTTGTTATTTAAGGGAGATGATACGAATCAGTTTTTCGGGTCATGCCGTAGTGTTTAACTCATAATTTACGCAGCGGACGCAGACACCAAATATCTACTACTGTAATTACGTAATCTACCAGATTAGGATCCGGGGAGTATAATATTTTCGTAATGCTTTTTATGGTAGCTGTAAGTGAACAGAGACATATGTCTTTGTAAAATCAATTTATCGGCAGTAATAACATAAAAGAAATTAATATATGATAAATAATAAAATAAAATATATCATATAAAATTATATTAAATCAAAGTTGAAATACTACGTAAACCATATCTTAAATATCATTAATAAAATAAAATGAAATATGATAAAATGTGTATCTTTTATATTTTATAGTTTAATTATTATAAAAAGATACATTGTACAAATATAAATTATAAGGATTAATATAAAAAAAAATAAAATTATGTTTTAATTTAATGTTGTAAGCATTATTTTTTTGTAACTTATACGAAAGGTTTGCAATATTAAATTATTTAAAGTTTCGGTCAAATAGATATATTTTTATACCTGAAAATAACAGATATGAAGATACTCGTAAATGGTAAGGTCAACAAATTTCCTCTCCGTGTCGTGTGGGAGTCGTTTAAGCGCCCCCTCACCTGCAATTTCTCGATAATCCTGATTACATTTCATTAGACAAAGCGTCTCCCTCACTTTTCTTTCGTAAAAGTGCAGATCCTCGATATCCTCCATCAAGATTGGTAAAGAACCTGCCGCTTCAGCTTTACATTTACGCCGGCAAATTATCACCAGGCGTTTGTATGCTTTATATCTAGGAAACATTATGTAAATTTACATTAAAAAATACGGACTTAATACATATGAATTGATTATGTATTGCAATCGATATTGAAAAAAATTTTGTAACGTAAATATTATAGATATTTTATAATATCGACACTGCAAATGTAAGATTTTTTAAATTATTATTTAATTCTGTTTTCTTTTTTTAAATTAAAATATCTGACATCTCTAATATATTATACTCGTGTGTGTTATGCGACTTATTCTTTTTTCCATGCTATTCCTTTTTCAAAAATTCGTTTTTCTCGTAAAAAGTATTTTCTTTCCATAAATTTTAATATAATTTTATATTACTAAAAACATACAAAAAGCTAAAAAATCCCTCTTTCCTTCAAAAAAGTTTAATGGATTAAATTTTAAAGATTTCAGAAGAAAGCACTTTTTTTTAAATAAAACATTACAAATTAATAAAATACTTGATATTTTAGAATTAATATACATTGAGTACTCAAAAATCATTTTTTTCAATTTACGCATGTAAACTATTAATAAATATGCAAAAAGTTTCATAAAAGTATTAAATATGTATTTTCCTTTCAAAACGAGATGCCAGAAAACGCACATATATATAATTTTAAAAACTTAAAAAATTTTTAATAAAACAAAAAAGTGGAAACTTAAATAAAACTTAAAAGTATCTCATAAAATTAATATACATTGAGTGCTTATGAAGAAGAGAGTATCGACGATGACGACGGGATAATTATAACAACGTACCCATGCAGAGCATCGTTAAATCCCGCGACGCAGCCATCCCAGTCTTCCTCGAGATAGGCCTGGACCGCGTTCTTAAAGATCTGACCGAGTGTGATGTTGCGCACGCGTTGCACTTCGCGTGCGACCGATTCACCGTCGTCGATCTCATTGATCTCGATCTCGTCGTTGCGAGCGTGACACGCGCACGCTCCGAGGAGGATCACGAGCGGTAGAACAAACCTCATCCTCTCGCGACTCCTCTCAACGGACTGCACAGAACACGAAGTGTACGGACCGGACGGATCGTCTCGCGTCGTTTCTCGTCGTCGCCAACTTCGGAACGCGTACACGCGCGTTATACACGCGTGGGATATCGTCCACATGCACGCACACGCGTAAACGTGCCGGTTGTAGATACAGGGTGATTCATATGCGAAGGATGACTTAACTTCGCATACAGATTATATAGACTAGAATAAATAAAATATATACGTGTGGGAGAGAAAATTAAGCAAGAGAGAGAGCATTTATAACGAGGCAATATTGAAGTTGAAAAAACAATGGGATATAATATATGAGATGATATATTGAGCAAAATAAATTTAAAATACAAAGTCAATTATGTATGAAATAATATTAAATAAAAAGAAAATAAAGAGATTAATAACTTCTCCTTAGCATTTCGATCTTAAAAACATTTTTTAAAACTTTCGTATATTTTATGCACAAAACACGTACATATAATTAATAAGCAAAATGTATTTATTTTGCAGCTTCCGTTTTATATCTAATTTATCCGTTTTCTTTTCCTTTTATCAGTATACAAGATATATATAGAAGAAAGAAGACTGTTGATCAACTTGACATTTTTATTACGCGATCGGATTTGACCTTCAAAAATAATCGTTTTATGATACAAACTGGGAATATCTACTTACGGGAACAGAGAAGACTTCAAACTTCAAACAGCGTATTGATGAAGATCATGCTAAACGTTATGATTAAAACTCCAATTAAGATAATAACAGCTGTGGTCATAAATAAATACTTCACTTATAAAATGACTCAACGAGCCATTTCCGATTATAATATTTCCAATTTTCTGCTTCGTTAATCAGAAAAGGCGTAAGTGGCCTTCGATGAGCTCGAGTGATTCGAAAGTATTATCGAATAAATGATGAGAAAATTAAAATTAATTGGTACTGTAATATAAGAGGAAATTATGAATTATTCATCTATAAATAAAAGAAATAAAGAAATGCTTGTCACGCGACAGACATTTCGTTGACAATTTCGATAGATTAAAGCAAATTACATAAAAGAAACCCTTTTCTCACCAGGATGTTGCGTGTCTCATTTCTGATACCTTTGCATATCAAATGATGCAGACGTTGACACAGGAAACAGTAGTATCACGTCTCTGAATCCCATGCATTTTGTGTTTAAACACGCATGGACCACGTGTCACATCGTAAATATTATTCGAGTTAAAATGGTACAGTGTATAAATAGTTCATTAATCTTAATTACCATGTTGGTCATTCGGAAAGAGTAGAACTCGACTTTTGACGCTAGTGATCATTCATGGTGATCACCGATGCTACCAAAATTTCTTGAAACATGTAAAAAATAAATAGCATTTAATATAAAATTTTAAATAATATAAAAAAAATACCTAGGTAATCTAAAATAAACAAACTGAAATTAATTCTTTGCAACGAATATAACTAATAATAAATAGTTCAACGAAAAACTTATAATTACTAAAAGAACTTCAACTGATTTGATTAATATTTTGTCTCGGTGGAGTCAAGGTCTGAGTATACTGCCAGAAACAGAGTTTGAAAAATTCTGCAAACGGACTAACACTATGAAAATATTAAGTTAGTTTGCGACACTGTACTACTTAATAAACAGTGTGCTATTCAACATATATTCATAAGAATGTAGTCTTATTTCGTCATAGTTTATCATTATATGCTTGTTGATCATGAAAATTCTATTTCTATACCAAAGTAAGTTAACTTTAATCTCGGTTCAACTATCATAACTTTGTGTGAACACTTTTAGCATTAAACCTTCGTATCGGTAAAAATCCATTTAATGACATTCATATATAGAGTGTCAGAACATTGTAATCGCATAATAATAACTCGGTGATTATAGAACACAGAATTAATTTTGAACATGACTTCGACTAGGACAATATCGCAATATTTGATGAAGAACGTTTCCTTAATAAACGACAAATATCGGAATACCTTCAAATCCTTATGCAAGAGAATAGTCTCAATTTGCGTTCGGATACGGAAGGCTTACATCACACTTATCTATAGATAATAAAAAACACAAAATAGTTTTATTTAGCTGATTTATGTAATATCTTTGTAATTGTTTATACATTGACTTTGCCTCCTATTTTAATATTTATTTGAATGACCGACATGTCTTACTTATTATTTAAATTGTATTAGTCATGTTCCTGACGAGATATGTTTAACACGCGATTTATTAGATTTGTTTAATCCGTAATTAATTTGGAATGTTATATATATATATATATATATATATTTCATTGTATTTATTATTATTTGATCCAATGTTTCAAGACGGCTTCTTTTCATACTTGGGGTAAGTCACCGTCTTTCTTTCGAATTTTCTGCTTAAAAAAATTATATTGTATTGTTTAATGTTTTAACAGATTGTACAACATCAAATATCTCTTTTCTAAAGAGACCAAAAAACAACGTAAAACAATATAATCTGATATAATATTTATATACGTAAGATCTTCGATTGAAAAATTAAATTATGCTGCTAATTAACTGTTAACTGTCATCTATAATAGAATTTTCCCTTTGTACCATTTATTGCAAACATTTATGAGTAGAACTAATGGAATTTTGCGAGATGATTAGCTGTTAATTAGAGGAATTGATTTGTTGCATGGGTATTGTTTCTGGACCTCCTAGACTTCTAGTGGATCTAGTACCGCAAATCTTGCTCTTAAATCGTTTTAATAGCATTTTCAGAATCCTCTTCCTACACACAAATATGATGAAAATAAAGAAACCTTGCATGTCACTTATGGTTGCGAACTGCAAATACCAGATAAATCCATGAAAATCGATCAACGACATTAGCTCCGAAATCCAAGCTATTCCCATCACTAAGAATAGCAACAAGTACATATTAAACCTGTGAGCAAATATATTTTTGAATTATTTGTAATTAAAATTGTTACAATAAGATATATTAATAAAATATACATTGTTCAAAAAAATGATGGCATAAAAAAATTTTGGATAAATATTGACCAATTTTGACTGACGATAACTTTGCGAAAAATTACCGTAGGGTAACGTTTTTTTTAATTAAAGCTTGAAATCTCAACTTTAAAAGGCCATGGCCAGATTTTAAGTTTAGTACACCCTTACCACTGTAACTCCCAAAATATGAGGATGTGTTTGTCATATTGAAAATTGCAAAATTTAACGGAATGCACGGACTTCGTAAAATTTTTTTGGGGAATGTAGTTTGCAGCGATATAAAATTCGAACTTTTCTCTTTAATTAAAAAAAAAATAAGTTGCTGCGATTTTTTTTTGCAAAGTTACAGTACTTTGAAGTAGCTCTCGCATTTTTGACCTCTGCTTATTTTCATCGCGGCGCGTGATATCCGAGGCTTCCAACCGATTAGCTATTCGTATTTTTAGGCACAGAATCATTAGTGTTGAGCTAACGAAAAAAAAAATGTTACTGATGATAGTAGCACCCATGGGTACGTAAAAATATAACGTTTGTGCTTCCATTTCTGAAACAAAAAACAAATTCTTTGTATTATACTACACTAATATATATGAATGATATGTCCATTATTTAAATTAAAAAAGTTGTTGAAATTTAATCAAGATTTTAATTAAGCATTAATTTTCCGCTAACGTTAATAATTGCCGGTATTACTTACCACCGAACCAAAATCTTTTTTCGCACATTTCTGGTCGGACCAAATTTTCTGGTAGGGGAATATTATCCATGATGACGCAGATAACAATGAGAAAGATAGTGACTCCCCATGCATAGATCGAATATATTATATGCTTCTTTTTATCCTTTATTTTTATTGTGCGCGGCCAGAGCTCTCTAGAAAATGCGATTTATGTTTAGTGAATAGCACACACACAATTTAATTATTATCCAATATATAATATCCAATATAAATATGCGATCGAAAATATCTTATCTCTTTCTTTAAAATTAAAGCTTTGTGAAGTAATAATCATGAAAACACACACAAACACACATGCTCGTATATATAATATAAATATTCTTAGTGTATGTACTGGTTTCCCAGTAAAAAATTTTTCATGCATAAATATGTATAAATATGTATAAACATACATAAACACCTATAAATATTCATAAACATGTATAATTACATATGAAATATGTCCATACATGTTCAAACATCCTTCTTTCTTTTGTAAAATTACTTTTTAGTGTAATAGAAATAATAATAGTAATGTAAAAACATAAATATAATTAAAGGAATAATTTTCGTATTGTTTGTTTCAGAAAAAAACAAGTTTAAAAAAATGTAAAAAAATTGCTCATACATAATTATGCACAATTTTTTTTATGTACAATTATACGTATAAATAATTTTTTTTTATTTTTTCAAACTTGATTTTTTCTAAAACAAATAGTGCGAAAATTATCTTTTTAATTATTTTTAATGTGATTCAAATCATATATATAATGAGCATGCTCACACATGGCAACTATCAGTTTACACATCAAGTTTCATTCAAAGAAAAGTTTAAAATTAATTAAATTAAATTAATTGAATTAATTACGAGCACACCTTATTACTTTCATCATGCGTATAACATTATATGAAACATATTGCTCACCTAAATGTCCACCAAATATCGAAACATATTGCATTTAACCAAAAAAAACTTGACAAAAAGAAGAAGTAGAAGATATATGCTGAAAAGATGAAATTAAATAATGTGTTAATTATCGAGCATATATTAAAATGACAATTATTTATAATTATTACTATATCTATTGTATTTGTGACATTTTTTGATCTGCATATCTGCAGCATTGGAAAGTATAAAAAAAGTGAATTTGATCAAATTAAATGCTTCACTGTATAATTTCTCTATTTAAATCAGAAAATTATCTACACATGCAGAAATGTGAGTTATTGTATATACATAATGTATAATTCAAGATTTAAATATCTGTTAAATATTATTTTATATTTTTTGTTCTTTTTTAAAAATTTAATAATTTCCATTTCATTAAATTATTCGGAAAACAGAAATATTATATCTAGACTACTAATTTCATATATAAGTACATATAAGCAACACATTAGTGCATTATTTATTATATCATTCTAGGCTTACTTCAAAAGTAACATAACTTAAAGAATATTATTTTCGAATTATTATCATGATAAGTTAGGTAAAGATTACTCTATTAATTATTAAAAGTAAACTAACTTAATGGTTCGTTCGCCAAGATATAGCTTGTGTTTCTCTTAAGGTTTTCAAAGAAATTATAATCACCTTCTAAAAGAGTGACATATTATGAGTTGTATTGTTCTCGTAAGTGTAAGAAGAATCTTTTACAAAAAATATTTAGAGTCAAGCCAGTTTTGGTGATGGAAGTTTAAAGAAGTTGTTTCATTTTGAATTTACTTATTTTTAGAGCTGATGGAGGTAAATATAAAAACTGTTTTATAATATTCTGAGTTATGTCAGTTTTTATAAATTATTCGGATTTGTTATAATTTTATAAAGACATCAAAATCATCATAACTTAAAAAGGATGTAACTTTGTTGTGAAACAAAAATGACAAAAATGACATTTGATCGTATTTTTAAGGATATATTCTCAAAAGAGCTTATTATCGTTTGATTGTATTATATTATTTAATTAGTCAATAATTTTCTGTCAAGTTAAAAAATAGTTTTTCCTCTTTTCTGATACTTAATTTGATTAGTTGTGTTATTTTTAAATAATGGAACGATATAGTTTATGCATACTGTACCTAGTGCAACGCAATATTTCAGTTCATTTAATTTAAAAAATTGGCCAAAACACATAATCGCATATGCGATGAATAATGAACCCACGTGTGTACGCATTGTATAATTATGGATAGTCTGGAATATTGGCAATATGGAATATATTATGAACGTCAATAGCAGGAACAGCAAAGACAATAGAATGTTAATGGTTACTGATGAAAATACTGAAGGTGTAATCGTACTATCATCTCGATCATCATCATCATAGACGCTTTCACAGATGATCACGCTATATATATCCCCAGATAAAATGGCAAAGCAATAATCCTTTGGTAAAATAACATAATCGCTATAAGTGAACAAATCGCCATTGGTAAGAAAAAAGTATGTATTGGGATAAAGAAATTTGTGAATATGCCCTTTTGCAATGCATGGATCGTGGACAGTAAAAACTAGTTCGTCGACTGTTTCATCCTCGTAATCATTCTCGTGTTCGTTTAGGTTTAGAAGAGCGTATATGTTTGGAAGAGCGTAATTATCCTCTCCACGAGAGATGCATCGTCCCTCTACCACGATGTTACCAAAAGGACAACAGAACTGAATACAAGTAATACTATTATTGCATGCTCTATATTCAACAAGAGTAGTTTCAATTGTTCTGTTGGAATTGAGTTTGTACGGTATGGAATCGTTCTTGTCTTCAGTTTTGGTGAGATTTTTATTAATTTCTTGTAACGTGAAATCATTGATCTCTGTCGAATTCGCATAAAATTTCATAGATGTCTGATTGTTATCTTCTACATTTTTTATTATATGATCACGAGACTCGTATCGCACCGAGTCATTCTTGCAATTGTTGTTTGTAGAATTAATACAGGATTCGTGTTGCATTTTATCGTTATTCTTAATAGAATTTTTCTGTGAATTAAACCTTGTCAATCTTATCTCTTCATTTCGATATTTCGTAGAATTTACGAGAGGATCAGTTTGCACCGTCGAATTGTCGCTCTGTTCATTGCCATTCGTAAAATCATCCTGAGGTTCCGAGAATGAAGCAACGAGCAGAAATGCGAAACAAAGTAAAATACTTGATAAACACATCGTTAAATTATTGAAGCGTCGAATTCACAAAATCAATTTGGTGTTTTCTTATGTCTTGTTAGTAAATATTTATCGTGATGTTACCAATTCTATAAAGAAAGGTAATTGGTGGCTTCATTCTACGATTTTGTCTGAAAAACAAAATATGAGGTTTTTGGAGTGAGCACGTGAATGCAAGTTAGAAAAATCGATGACATTAAATGAAAAAGGTATCTCGCAAGGCAAGCCCTTCATTAACCATGAATAATGACAGAGCGACAAAGAAAATTTTTTTTGTAGCACTAAGTCAGTAATTATCGCTACTATTTTTACGTGCATTCGATTGAATATGTTAACGATTGGGACAAATCTTTGGTCTCACGGATGAGTTTTTGACAGAGTAACAATTTTGCTTACTTTGATTTTTAAATGTTTCTAACAAATACACGATATATTTATATTAGAATACCCAGGTGCTCTTTTTACACGATCTTTCATGCGTTTATTGTGAGTAATTTTTGTTACTCTGGAAAATATTCATTTGGCCGCTCAAGATCTTGTGATCTGTTTCTCGTTTAATTTTACTGCGTTTTGCGTTTTTCCTTTTTTAAATTTTGAACTTTCATACATCTGAAAACTCAATCTCGTAGCCAAAACACGTTATGTGAATATATGTAAATTATCAAACTTATATTTTTTTAATACATATAACTCTCTCATTATTCATTCTAAATTTGATATTTTCATTCAACCCTTATTGCCCTGTTAATTTGATAACTCTTGTTAATATTACTTCTTTTATTGCATTTTATGTAATGTTGTTGTACTTGAATTATGATAATCACACCAATTAATTCATCATCAAACTTAAGTTCTAGGATGTAAATTTTCTACAAGGTCTTTAGCTAATTATCTCTAATATCATTCTACACTTATGACTATTATTCAAGAATTTTATTATTGGTTATACGTATACACAAAAAGAGTTGTAAAATTACTTCACTTGATTATTCGATTTTTATTTCAACCGGTTTATATTGAACAAGGAAATTCATAAAAAAAACATTCTTTCTTTATATTCTTTTACTTATTTATATATGTTTCTACAAAGTTGTAGTTATGTCATCTAGTTACAATACAAGTAAAAAAAAAATAATAGTCCTAAAAGATAAAAGAAAAGTAATTAATTTAAGTGATACGTGCTATTTGAGAAAAATGAATATAGTTCTTGTATATGATAAATGATGCGGAGCTAATAAATGATTTTTATTCAGTTAAAAACTTTGCAAAAGAATTTACATCACTATGACCAAATTATTAACG